TGGGTGATTTCCCACATCTGTTGCATTGTTGAGTGTCCCGTCTTGTGTATCGCTCTTGGGCTTGTTTCATAGTCTTCACAGGTTTGTTGAATCGTTTTGTGAAAGTTTTTGTGTTAACTTTGACACTGTCCACATTGCAGGGGTTTTCTAATTTGAAATTATTTTTCAGAAGGTCCTGCTGCTTCTTCACAAGCTCGCTTTGACGAATCTTTGTAACTGCCTTGTCCAGCGTGAGATCTGCATCCATCTGTAGTGACTCCGAAAGCCGCTTGTCACCTATCCCAACCACTAGTCTGTCTCTGATCATTTCACTGTGCAGCGCACCATAGCCACAGTGCTCTGCCAATCTGTACGACGACGTAATAAAGCTGTCTGTAGTCTCTCCAATATCCTGCTGTCTTTGGTTAAACTTTGCACGTTCAAAAATGACTCAAAATGCTCCTCCAACTTGGCTACCATAGAGTGGTATACATTCGCCTCCGCGTCCGACATGTTTAATGAAGTAAGCACATCCTCTGCTTCTTCTCCCATAGTATAGATCAACGTGTTCACCTGGTTTTCTTCTGGCTGTAGCTCGAGCCCAGAAGCTATCCGGAATCTTTCAAAACGTTTGATCCATTTTGGCCACTCTTCTGGCTTTTTGAAGTCAAACTTGGGCAGCGGGGCGACTTGAAATGCCGTTGGGGCTGCTGCGGCCATAGTGCTTTTGCGGTCAGGACTAGCTGGCGCCGCTATCTTGTTAGCTCCAGTTAGCTTACACTTACTGCACTCGTTTCGTCGAGTTTACAAAGAGAGTTCTGTCCGGTCAGTAAGAGCAAGTACTTCTGCTGATATCTCGCTCTCCCGGCCAACTTCTGACACCATGTTTAGTTAGGTGTAAGTGTAGCAGGTATGAGACAGACGGCGACGTGTCTGGAGCTGGCAATCATTTATTCAAAGGTGCCCCCCCCCCAGTTACTCTGCTGAACCAACAGAGGGCGCTCCAGGATAGTGCACAGGCTAAGTCACTATCATAACAGGGATGGTGTGTTCAGGGTGATGAGCTGTGTTGCTTTTACGCCAAACATATCGTTTTGCATTGTGGCCAAAAAGTTTGATTTTGGTTTCATCTGACCAGAGCACCTTCTTCCACATGTTCGGTGTGTCTCCCAAGTGGCTTGTGGCAAACTTTAAGAGACTTTTATTGGATATCTTTGAGAAATGGCTTTCTTCTTGCCACTCTTCCACAAAGGCCAGATTTTTGCAGTGCACGACTGATTGTTGTCCTATGGACAGACTCTCCCACCTCAGCTGTAGTTATCTGCAGTTCATCCAGAGCGATCATGGGCCTCTTGGCTGCATCTCTGATCTGCATCCTTGTTTGAGATGAAAGTTTGGAGGGACGGCCAGGTCTTGGTAGATTTGCAGTGGTCTGATACTCCTTCCATTTCAATATAACTGCTTGCACAGTGCTCCTTGAGATGTTTAAAGCTTGGGAAATCTTTTTGTATCCAAATCCGGCTTTAAACTTCTCCACAACAGTATCTCGGACCTGCCTGGTGTGTTCCTTTGTCTTCATGGTTCTCTCTGTGCTTTAAACAGAACCCTGAGACTATCAAAGAGCAGGTGCATTTATACGGAGACTTGATTACACACAGGAGCATTCTATTTATCATCATCAGTCATTTAGGACAACATTGGATCATTCAAAGATCCTCACTGAACTTCTGGAGTGAGTTTGCTGCACTGAAAGTAAAGGGGCCGAATAATATTGCACGCCCCACTTTTCCGTTTTTTATTTTTTTTTAAAGTTTAAATTATCCAATAAATTTTGTTCCACTTCACGATTGTGTCCCACTTGTTGTTGATTCATGACAAATTTAAATGTTATATCTTTATGTTTGAAGACTAAAATGTGGCAAAATGTTGAAAGGTTCAAGGGGGCCGAATACTTTCACAAGGCACTGTATGCAAAGCATATCCAGAGGATTGCCCATGTACAAACAGTTTGTTATGATTCATCCTATTGAATGCCTTCGAAGAATCTAAAAAAAAAAAAAAAAACACTGAGTTTGGCCTCTGTACTTTTCAATGACCTCTTTTATTTCAATAACACACATGTCCGTAAACAGCTTAGCCTTAAAACCAAACTGGTTGTCCGTAGACTTTATACAATTTCTTTAAGCATAGACTTTTCAAACAATGGATTGGAGACATTTGAGATGTACTAGTTCTTATATCAGCGAATCAAACATATTTTAAACAAATATACTAATAATAACAGAAGATTAATTTGACTAAAGTAAAATAGCTTTAAACTCGACCAAATCGATGATCGCCAAATATTTGACAATACTAAATGTCTTTATAGTTGTACGCAATAAGATATATAAAATGGGATTCATCACAAACCTAATTATTTCAGAGTTACACTGTTGAAATATTTCAGTCCCATTTAAATGACTGCAAGATATTAAAGATATAAGATATACATTACATTTTAGTTGATCTTTGTATTCACAGCTCAAAAACAATGAACTTGTTCTGAACAAGCCCCAAACTTTTACTCCAATAATTATTATAGCATAATCTGATCCCTGCCAACATTGATGTTCTCTTTGCCATTTTATTCAAGTCTCTAGGTAGCATGTTGTTGGTCCTAATAAAAGATAAGAAAAAAAGTCCAAACCATACTTGAATAATAACTTCCTGGCCCCATCTACCCACAGCAGTGAGTGAGCAGAACTGTCAACACTGAAATCCAGATCTTAGTGAATGGAAAACACTAAAATAGGTTATAAAAAATACGTATTTTAATGCTTCAAATATAGTCTGTAGGCTCTTTAAATGATTCATAAATAACATTTTTAGCTAAAGAACGAGCGGAAAATAGACATCGTGGCTATCTGTCTAGTGTTTTCTCAATGCATATGCTGCCCTCTACTGGTTAACGGAGGTAGTTAATCCATAAAAATAAAACCTTAGTGAAATTTATTGTGGGTAATAAAAGTGTGTCTGGTGCACTAAATATAACTTTTACCGTGTATTGAAGTGGTATTAAAATATAAAGTTCAGAAAGTTCATTTGAGAACACTCCTGTGGCCGAGTGATGAGAGGTGAGAAGAACAGGTGTTTGGGATCTGTGGAAACAAAAGAAGCACAACCTCAACCTCTGTGTCATTTTTGATTCTCACCTCACCTTCCGCTATCAATAAAACCATCCAAACCTGCTTCTATCACCTTCGCACAATCTCAAAGATAAAAAAAACATTCTCACTCCTCCCGATCTCCATAAAGTCGTCAACGCCCTCATCTTCTCCCGCCTCGACTACTGCAACTCCCTCCTCTCCGGTCTCGACGCTAAATCCCTCTCCCGCCTCCAACTGGTCCAGAGTAGACGCAGCAGCCAGACTTCTCACTGGTTTTAACAGAAGGGAGCACATCACCCCTGTCTAAGCGTCCCTCCACTGGCTCCCTGTGCGTTTTAGAATTGATTAAGATTTTACTGATTACTTTTAAAGCTCGTTTAGGTCTGGCACCCAGCTATATTTCTGAACTTTTAACCCCCTACGTGCCCCCCCCCCGCAGCCTTAGATCCTCGGGCAGGTCCCTGTTGAATGTTCCAAGGTCGAGGCTCCGGACGAAAGGTGACCGAGCCTTCTCTGTCCGGGCTCCTCAGCTTTGGAACTACCTGCCCGAGGAGATAAGGCTAGCACCATCAGTATCCTCTCTTAATATCACTTCTTAAAACCCACTTTTATCGAACAGCTTTTAACTGTTAGTTCTTAAGTTCACATGCTGTATTTTAATGTCTGCTTGGTCGTTGTTATGTCTCTTTTGTGTTTTTCTCTGTTTTCCTGTATCTATTCTATCTAATTTTGACTTTACATCCTGACAGTTTTATTGTTTAGCATGCTGACTGCAGCGCTTTGTAAACATGGTTTTTAAAAGTGCTATATAAAATAATAATAATAATTATTACAAATTAACATGGATAGTAGCGCAGAGCTTCAAAAAAGATCAAAGCAGAGCCTTTAATGCACCTGTGCTCCCAGTTTGGAGAGGTAACGATTTCGTAAACGACATGCAGACATGGGCGTCAACCTCGCAGATTCACCCTTGGTCATCTTAATGGGACGACGTTTACTTCTGCAATAGAGACAAGCTTAATTAAACATTACCAGAAAGAATTACAGTAGTCAACTAAAAAAAACATACCAGGGAGATCTGAAAGTTGGAAATTAAATATTTGAAAATAATAATGGACAAACACATACAAAATATAACCTTTAATGGCACAGTACATGTTCTTGACCAAGTTCAGAAACCATTTGGTACATAGAACACTATACACATGAAGCAGTAAACTGGCATTCTCAGTGAGTCTTACAAAACCTTCCCACATTACTGGAATCATAAATGCTCATCCAGGAGCAATGTTTACCTGAGCTTAAAAAGGGCAAAAAAACTAAAAACAGGCCAATACAGGAGATATATTCTTTTGAAAGATCATACAAATTTAAAACACCACATACTTATGTTTAAAAAAGAACAAGAAAAAGGCATTTGAGAAGGCGTTCTGAGGTTTTGGAAAGACGTTCCAAGACAACAGAAAACATTACTGATGCAACCGAAAATCACTCATTGAGCGCAGATAGATTAAGTGAAAATGTATCTGTGTTGTTCCGGATTTTATAATTTTGTTTCTCTACAAATGATCAAAAGAAAGTAAACCGCAAACAGCATGAAATAAGTCAGTGGGGTTGTGGGTTGTGAGAACAATCTCATGAGTTCTTCAAACTCAAGATTAAAAAAATACATAGATTCCACTTGATGCATCATAGGAAGTCAGTAAAACTGATTGAAGTACTATAAGAGAATGACATGTGCAACACCCGTGATCAGTCATTAGTGACAAAAAAGGCAAAGATGTCAGTGGTGCAATGCAGCCCCATAGGAGTAATGTCGGCTGGACACTACTACAGGCACCAAAAGTGCTCCCCACATCATCATCATCATCATCATCTGGAAGACAGGATAACAACAGAGGAGAAAGTCAGACATATAAATAATACAAACTTACCACAGAGTGAAAATAGTGACTAATGAAATATTAGAGTGGAGAATATACCAACCATGTGTTTTTTAAAAAGATAAAACAATGCACCAAGTGTGTTTTGACAGTGGAAAAGTGTACCTTTTCTCATTAGATGTATGCATATGATAAGGTATGACTTTCCTACATTGGGAAACAGCACTAACAGTCAAGAAACACAACACGGACTGGCATCCGGCAAACATCACATAAAATATCCATGTGCATAACAGGCCTAAAGATAGAGAGCTACAGAGTTTGAAGAGTACTTACTCAGAGTGTGAAGTGGCTTCTTTCTGAAGTCTGGCTCTGTCTGCTGCAGAGCGGTTTAAGTCTCCCCCTGATACACACAAGAATGATGAATTCCTCCCTAAAATGTACAGACCTCACAAGATTTGGTACAGATTTACCCTACCTTTGATGTAATCCACAAAGTACAACATCACCACAGCTATTAGTGCAACTGTAAAATAAGAGCACTGTGTTTTTGTATCCATAATCAATGCATTATACACAAGAAAGCATAAAAAACTAACTGCATATGCAGGCACAGAAAAACACTTCTAAAACCAGGTAGCCTCTGGTGTCAAGGATGGTCCCTGCTGCCATGGCAATGAGAGCCAGCCCCAGATTCTGAATGGATTGCATACTAAAATAGAAATAGACAAACATTAGTGCAGGAATACTACTATATTGAGGATATAATGTCACTGTCACATGAAACTTACAAGCCATAAGCTGTTCCCAGCTGATGCTCAGGGACCACGAACGCCACCATAGGCCACAGAGCACATGCCAGTAAGGAATAGGAAACGCCCAGTAAAGACTGCAAAACAGAGGCACGTGACAGTAGCTCAGGGCAATGAGTAAGATGTCAAATAAAATACAGATTTAATTAACATTGCATTACCCTGATCATTTTTCTTTTTTTTGGTAAATAATAATGATTGAGTAAATCTTTGCCCGGTCCACTTTTCAGATATTGATCGTTTACTGGCTGTGGTGTAGTCAATGAGTGAAGTGTTGATTATTGATTATTGGCTTGTCCAGCTTGTCAAACTCACACCATATATAATATATTCAAATTATTTTAAATAGTTTAAGATATTGACCTTTGAGTGCAACATTTACTTACCGGTGTCATGTTTGTGACATTTGATATAATATCTCGAAAACCGAAGGATTCACAATTATTTTAAAGTATACTCTTTGGTTCATCCAACCCCTTTTCAAAATAGTATTTTTTTTTAAATCTTATTTTGTTCTGTAAAAAAACCCATCTAATCTGTTGTTGGTGAAAATATTATATAGGTCCTCTGAGGCAACTGTTATTGTGAATTAGGGCTATACTACACACTTGCGATGTTTGTGCACATTCCTGCACATATAACTAATATTAACAATAACTCCAGGCAATGCAGCCAATGCAGGTGCAGAGGGGGCAGGAAACACACAGACCCCTTTGACCTGTTCCAGTGTGGTAGCTAAACTGATACATTAGCCATTCAATCTCTGGTTTAGTAGTATGGCATTAAATAATAAAACATATGTAGATTAGTTAAAAGTACACATATTTTTAAAAAGGTTTCCCCCTCTTACAGAATTCAGCGTAACTTGGTTCATATACATTACCATGGCAATCCAAGGGTTCCAAAAAGTGAAGGCCAGCATCATGTGAGCAGCTAGTGTTGCAACCACAGCACACAACACCCAAATCACGTTCCTCCCAACTTTATCCACCATGAAGCCCAGGACTGGAGAAGCAGGAGCCGAAATGATGTACACAATACTAAGAGAAAGAAAGAATACGTTTATATGCTTGAGTCAAATCCTAAATGTGTGAAGGTAGCTTTTAGTCAAGTCACCTGTTAACAGCTCTGGCATTAGCTGGAGAAAAGTTGAATTTCTCTATAAAGAATACCCTGAAAACCAGGGAGATGGTACAGTATGACTTTTGTGGCTTGATGGTTCACCAATCAGCAGCATGTCAATACAAAAATTATATAACAAATACATTGCTATTTAGATTATTTAGCTAAATTGTTAAATTGCTTTATGTATTACAGCACATTAGAAGTTAAAACAAATCCAATAAGAAGTGGTTTCTCAATGTAATTATTGTGCCTTTTTAATACCATCTCTTTAGCCTGCCGTTTTATTCTCCCTCACTCAGACTACTACTGATCATTATAATGTACTTACTGTCCCAGTCCAATAAAAGGGAATATTGCAACATAGTATCCCACACAAATGATGAAAATAAGCCACAAGGAGGCAGGGAAGTCTTTAACATCGGTCAGCTTAATGACCTCACCTAAAAGACAGACAGAGAGCAATCTTAGTGACAAACAAGTATAAGTATACAGAGCAAAAAGTGTGAAAGCAGGTTTAAGAAAGTATTTCCTCACCGGTTCTTCCCTGCTCCTTGTGAAGGATTTTCTCCGCTCGCTTGTCGAGAAATCCCAAAACCAAAGCACACCAAAGGGAGAACAAACATGTAGAAGCAGCTTGGAAATAAAATAAAATAAAATACAGATATTAGTTTGTTTTACACTTTATTTAAGCTTGAAGTAAAATCAGAGGGTTGACATCATACAAACTACATCAGTATTTTTGAAAACCACAGACAGACAATAATTTAAAGAAGTGACAGTGAAGTTCCTGTGCGAATCATGAGATTGCAAAACTCAACTTATCTTTATATGAATTAATGAGTTTGTTTTGAATACAGAATTTGTTTTTGCTGATACATTAATGAATCATATGACTGTAGATCACACTTACCTATCATAAGTGACACGCCCAGTGTAGTGTGTCCTGCAGCAACAGATTCACTCACTTTATTATAAACAGCACCCATGATGTTCATGTTCACTGTGCTGCCCTGGAGACAAACACAATGTGTCAACCCCTACACTACTGCCATAAATGTTTTTTTCTGCAGCAAATAACTTACTAGTCTGGCCATACTAAGCTGCAATCCAAACACCAGATTTAGCTCCTTCCCTTTAAACCAGTTTACTGCATAAGTATTCTGTGCTACTGCCAGGGACTCTCCTCCAATTCTATAGACAAAGCATTGGAATAACATTATGTTGTTGTTTATTAAACCAGTAATAATGGTCTAATTTAATGGGTTTCCTTACCCAAATACGAAACGTCCTACTTCCATAAGCCAGAATTTTTTTACAAATCCTCCAAGTGCAAAAATGATCTGTGCCAAATACAAAGCAAGTTAACGCAACACTTGACTCACTTTCAATATCATTCATAACTTGCATACCTGACCGACACAGACAAATAGGGAAAATATTATTGTTCCAAGTCTGAAAAACAAACAAAAAGCAGACACACGGTCACACAGTTTTATTATACTACTCTGCATGTGTGTGTAAGAAAGGTCCTACCTAATACCAAAAACCCTGTCAAGAAGAAATCCCCCAATAAAGCATAGGAAGACATTTGGCCAGGAATACCATGCATAAAGCTGCATAAAATCAGCTGTGTTCAGATCCATATCCTATTGTCAGAAACAGAGAAATGCTTATACAAACACAGCCGAAAGAAATGCACCTTCAATGTATTCTAGAAGTGACAGCAGTGAATGACCGTACTTGAAGAAACTCTGTCTGCAGTGCTGCGGGGTTGTCATAACAGAAGTAACTCCCTAAAAGACAAGATCAAACAGACATAGTCATTAAGATGAGTCTATCCCTCAAAACAAGTCAAAAAAGTGAGTTTCACCAAACCCTAGTTCTCTCACCAAACCCCAGGAAGCACATGAAGGCTAAAACCACTATCCGATGCAGGAGGTGGCTGGGGTCGCACAGTGGCGGCAGTGGCGTCCCCGTTGCCCCCTCTTCGTGTGTGTCAGGACCCAGGAGCGCTTCATCTTCAGCTCCTACCAAGCCCCGGCGCTCCTCCGCATCCCCGTACTCCGCCATGTTGCTCTGTTTGGGAAGCGCTTCAAGAAAGGAATCGGGATCATATGACCAGCAGCCACGTGACCACACAGCCAATAGCGACGCGCGCGTGCAAAGCGGCCACGTGGAGCGTGATGAAGTGCGGTAATAACGTGAGTAAAACTAGGTTAAAGTTGTATAAATGTCTCTGATAGGAATCAGACTCAGGCAAAACGGGATTTTTGACTTTCAGGTGTTTAGCTGCATTGTGTTTATTTAGTTTAATTTAATTTTGAGAATGAGAATAGTAATGAGAATGGTTAAACCTAGCTTAAAGTTTTATTCACTTAAAAAAAGAAGAAGAAACATACCGTACCATGGATGAATACTACAGTCTGATTCTAACCAGAGAGTAGACTGTACAATACTGGCCTCAAAACCACAAAGACTCATCAAAACACAATACTGTCATGCAACATGTTTTCCGCTGGAGGGTACAGTCCATAAACTGTCCAATATTTGTAAGAAAAATAATTACAAATAAAATCATAGCAACACATATGTCAGGCCAAACAACATCAGCCAAAATCTAGCTATCAACAACTATTAACTTACTGTCAGTACTGTCTTTTACATACAGGGAACAATGGAATAATGAGAAACTAAATGAGATTGTAATCTGCTTTAAATACAACATGTATGATCCAAAACAACAATACGACATTGAAAAACATCAGCAACGAATAGAGTTAGTATACTCTATGTACATATACACAAGTGCTTGTAAAGGTGTAATGTGAAATGACTGTATTTGGTAACAATAACTTGCTGCCACCTCAAATTCGGTGACAAGTTTCTGGTCTTGTGGTTTCATATCAGATGTCCTTGTTGTTACATGGTAACTTTTGCATGTTTGCTCTGCATAAAGTGTTTTTTCATTATTTACCAAAAGAAACTCAGGAAACTAAGATTAGATAGAAGGAAGTAAAGAAGCCATATAGACAAGATATGAGAAGCAAAAGTCTTATACGGAACTTAATAACTAGTCTTTGTGCATGTTATATTTATTCATCTTTATAAATTTTTTAATATATGTACACTCTTCTGAAAATATAAAAAAAATGTCAACGCATTTCAAAATTAGAGTCTGCTGTGGTTGATGTGAGACATCTCCAGCTGGGTGGACGTGACAGTAACTGAGTCCATGGTGTTTTTTTGCTGCGGTTTCTGCCGCAGCGTTGCTGTCAGCCTATATCTGAACATTTTACAGAGAAACACGTAGATGAGAGGGTCCAGACACACATTTGTGGCTGATAGCCACAATGTGGTTTCCTTTGCAATATACAAGTCATTTTGTGCCTTGCATGGGCCCACGCTGTTTCGTGTTTGCGTTAGAGTATATGGGACTCTTGCAAAGTGGAACGGTGCAAAGCAAATGAAAAATACCCCCACAACCACAAAAACTTTAGCCTTGGTTCTGCGACTGGCAGCGTGAGATCTGCTTTTTGATGCTTTGTAGGAGTCGTACACCTTCTTACTGATGAAAGTGTAGCACACTACCATCAGAGCAAGTGTGCCCCAGAAAATCACCTACAATGAAACAATGAACAATGAAACAAATGTACTTGTCTCTTACATTAATGCCACATGTATAGTGTCTTTACCTGGCAGAAGTAATTAAACCCCTCATGCCACAACAGCCCAGCCTCGCTCTTCATAGAGGAACACTTGAGTTTGCCAGAGATCTTTGGATGCTGGTCACTCAGGATGACGTTGGGCAGTGCTAAGGACAGCATCACAACCCACACTGCTGCGCTGACCACCTGTCCCACCCTCACGCGCTGCAGCAGACAATTTTCAAACGGCTTCACAATCTTCAGGTAGCGGTCCACACCGATGAGGCCCAGGAGGAGGATGCTTATGTACATGGTGATGTAGAAGAGAACAGCAGAATATCGGCAGTGGAAAGCCCGCAGCTGCCACGAGCCCACTCCAGCATCACTCAGCACTCTCAGAGGAATGGTCAGTGTCATCAGCAGGTCTGCCACCACCTCATCATACGGACACATAACAACACTTCAGCTACTGCAAACAACTGCAATAACATGCACTCTAATTTAAACCAGGATCAGGATGAACTCAGGTCTGACTCTGAAGCAGGAGTATATTACAATATGGTGTAGACGATAAACTAGTAACATTTAGGGCTATATGATTTATCAAATTGAATTAGTAATTTTTGTTGTTGCAATTAGGACATTGCAAAGACTATAATTACTTAAGTTTTAAATTAGATAAATAAAAGAGATAAGAGCACTAAAAATAAGAGAATAATCATTTGAATTTGGAAAAACGTCTCTTAATTTGAGTACATCTTGTTGTCAAGTTGATGCATTATTTTCTCCTTCCAAACTAGATGCGCCATTTTTTGTTTTACTCAAAATCTGTTGCACAACTCAGATCTGACTATAAGATTTGAAAAACAAAAAAAACCAAAATCTACTTAAATCAAGCGTTAATACATATTTAAAATTGTTGTAGCAAATCTTATTTCTACTAGGAATACACAATTTTTTTTAGGTTAGGTTAGGTCAATGACCTGTGAGGGAATTGTGTATGAGGTAATCACTTAAAAAGTAAGCAATGTTGGTCAGAATGATCACAATTTGATATTTTTGCCCAAAATCTCCAGCTAAATCTGGGCTAAATCAAATAAAACTTGGTATTTAATCAAATATTATCCGCTCACCACATTTTTCAGAAATACCACAAAGGTAGACGTGCTGGGGATGCCAAAGAAGATCCAAGCAGCTAAGGAATTCAAGACCAAAGCGACAACGAAGAGGAGGCTGTAGAGGCAGGGGAACACCACTGCGGTCACACTGGTGTCCCGGTCGCATTTGATGGACAAGTTGGAAAGAGTGGCGTTCATCTTTGGTACCCTGAACAAAACAAAGGATTTAGATTGTTTGCTGCTTGAACTATTTCTGTTTACACACTGCCAAAAGACAACTCTACTCAAAAGTCTACTCTGGCAGTTTTTAAATCTAGGCTGAAAACAATTCTATTTAGCTGTGCATAAAACTGAATGATTTTATCTTTTTATCTTTGTTTTTATCTTTAATCTTTTTAATGCACTGTGACTATTTATGATTTTGATCCCATCTGTGATTTTAAAGTTTTTAAGTTTTTAACTTGTGTGATTTTATTTTTAATGTTTTTAATATATCTTTTGCTCTTAATGTGTTTGATTTATGCATGATGTTGTATGGGTTGTGAGGCGCTTTGCGTTGCCTTGTGTAGGAAAAGCGCTCTACATTTAAACGTTGATTGATTGAACTCGTAAAAGACTTTTTGTCATTTAGTTATACATTTGTGATTCATGATTAAAAAGACCCCTGTTTGTGCCCAGATATGTGTACAATAACAGTCAAAACAGAAAGATGTTGGCCTTTTTTTGAAGAGTTTCATTTTTAATGTAATTTAATTTCTTATGTAGTAACTTGTATGTACTTTCTAAGCTTTTTCTCATATAAAAATATATTTTTTTTTCCCCTGTATACAATTGGGACAAAGCATCAGGTGAAACTATTTCAGTAATACAGGTAGGTGCAATCAACATTCCTTTATTAATATTCACATAATATAGCTTTAACTCCAAAGGTGGGCCCCAACATCCAGGTCTTTTAAAGGACTTTTTTAATAAGGCTAAAATGGTTGATTCAAATGTATGCATAATTTGGTGTGCTGTACAACTGGCGATCTATAACAATTTGGACTGCTTTACACATTACTTGTGTTTGTTTGCCAATTAAGTCCATTGGCCAGGATGTAAACAGAGCCTGAATACACAAGAAAGGAGGTCTGAGAACATTGCGCATCTTAAATCACTCGCTAAAGAAACAGCATTTCCCCACTGTACGCTCAAAAAACACTGGAAAATCAAAAAAGAAAGGGAAACAATGTGAACCACAAAAGATTAGACTCGTAGAATAAATGCCTGACCCTATTGCCAAGTTTTTTCCAGTAAATCCTGTATCTGTGTTTAAAATAACATAAATAGCAGACCGAGTGCAGTATTGATCTTTCATTTGAACCCGTGAAAATATAACATTATTTTGGCTCCATTGAGTCTCAAAACAATACCTCAGTCAATATGTACTATTAGTCATGAGGTGGTGATAAAAGTAAAGATCTCCACATTAGTTTAACACTTTACAATTAACTTATCACAACTATTGTAGTATGTCTTACCTTTCAGCTGAAGTCGTTGCTTATGTGTGTGGCAAAACGTCACGCCAATTGAAAAGTTCAGTATTGCAAAAACAGAGACCGTTTCAAAATTACCACATCCTTCTCTGCTGGGCTCTTCTCTGTATAATTCTCTCACCAGCTTTTTTCCCTTTCTCTTATTAAAGTGGGTGCGTCTGTGTGTGTGTATGTTTGCGTGTATGCCTATATGCATGTATGCGTGTGTGGGTGTGTGTGTGTGCGTTTAATATCCTTACAATGGGTGGTCTCTGGAGCTACTGTGTGGCTGTCTTGTCACAATCCCAAGGCGTTTGCCAGTCTTCCTCCACCGGTCAATAGCTCTTTCCTTCCTTGCTTCCTGTTCCAATTGTCTGCTGAGGGGCTTGTTCTGCTCCGTGCCAGTCCCCCTGCCTCCGCTCGCCTTCTGTCAGACCGTGTGTGAGCCCCAACACCAAAGACCATCAACCGTATCAACTATAGCACAACAACCACATGCATTTCAACGCCCTTTTCCTATCACGCATGAAATGAAAACTCAAATACAATAATGCTGAGTAGTTTGACTGGTTGTTTCTTGTTCCTTATTATGATAAGACCATTATGAGTAAATTAACTTAATCATGAATTCTAAAAATGAGCTGCCATGTGGGTCGGGCAGATGTAAAAGGATGTCTCCCTTGTCTATATCACTCACAGTCTAATTGGTAAATTTTTTTCTTGTGCGTGTATTCCCTACTGGTGCTAAAAATACATCTGTCTGAGAACAGCAACACATTACTTCCTGTGAAATTATTATTCAGCATTTTTGACGAATGGGAATGTTCAGATTAGAGAAGCCCAATAAATGACCCAATACAACCCCAAAATGCTTTATTGAACCACCTAACTAGTGAAGTTATGTACGTATACGTAGAAAAATAAACATTAATCAATTGTCATGATTCCAAGTTGCCACAAAGCAGTTTAAAAAGTGTAAATTGTCTACAGTCTGCACATTGTTACACTTTTTTGATGTAAAGTAATGACATAACACATGTTTTGTATTTTTTCAGTGAATTTCCTTTGGTTTGTTGTTTTTGGACACCACCGCCTGGAACATTCATCTTCGAGGCATCAAACACAAGTACTCCTCACCATTTATTGTCTTTATGGATAGACTCACAGATAATCCGTTAATATTTTCTAATAGGAAGTTATTATAGAAATGAGTTTGCACTAATGGAATCATGAAACACATTTCCTAAAGGCATTTCCTGTGTCCATCTTATGACCATGCTTGACCTGGCTGTGTAATGCAATTAAGTAATACCAGCAAGAAAGCTCATAGAACAACAAGTTAGTTTACTGGGGTAATATTTATTTCAAACAACCTATTAAAATGAAAGGATTCTCAAACAGAATCTTACTTATTTTCAACAACATTCACTGAACACATTAAACAGTATTTGTAGGAAAAAAACATTTTGACAAATATGCTTCACTAATAGCAAATAATAAATAGCACTACAATGAAATATTTGTTTTTATGTGAAACCAGGGGACAGCTACCTTTGTTGTCAAGAGGTTCTGCCAAAGAGAAAGAAAATACATTTTCTAGAACCGCTATTTGTAATACATGACATTCTCTATTAAGTTTTAACAAATACCAAAAAGCGTAACCATTGACAACAGCAAACAAAGTATACAAGAAAAAGAAATATTATCAAGACATACTGTGAGACCTAATGCACCACCGTAGTACAGTGCATTGTTACAATACCTATAGAATATATATAAATAATGTAATAACGTGATTTATGTCATTCTTTCAAGGCCGAAGAACGCTGAATAGCTGCAGGTCACCTCCCTGTGTGTTCAATTATTCACCAGTTGTACCTGAGCATGGCCTTGTGAATTTGTTCAATATAAGCGTAACATTTCTCAGTAAAGATAACAATTTCTTACTGAACTCTCTACATAAAAACACATAGAGAAGCGGGTCTAGGCAGATATTGTTAGTTGCCAACCATAAACCAAATTCTTTGACATTCTTGCTCCATGTGTAAGAACAGTCAAGATCTAGTACCTGTTCAAAAGTATAAGGGATCCTTATGATGTGATATGGGCCAAATGACACAAAAAAGACAACGAGCACTAAGAAAACACGTAACTTTATCTTCTGCTTCCCCTTGCTGTTCTTGCTTCCAGACTTTCTAAATGCTTGCACAACCTTATTTGTAATGCAAATGTAGCAAATAGCAACAACAAGACTGATAAACCAGAAATACCCGTTCAAGAAAATGTTGAGATATTTATGGAGAAGTATCCCGGCCGGGACTTTTGTGTCCATACATGACCGAATCGCTGTTTCATTTCCCTTTTTGTTGCTCAAAATGATTGTTGGAAATGCAGAGAGTCCAAAGACGATCACCCATACTACCAATGATATAACTAAGCTCATCGTTACGCTTTGACCGAAATTGCTCTGCGGAGTGACGATCTTGGTGAAACGGTCCAAACTTATAAGACCCAAGAAAGTGATGGAGGTGTAGAAGGCACTGTAGAAAATGACACTGAAAAATTGGCAGGAGAGGATATACAACTGCTGCGGGGCGTTGGGCAGCTCACTGGCAGCTATGACTGGGAGAGTGAGGGTCAGAATGAGGTCGGCCCCAATGAGGTTTTTCAGATAGACGATGAATGTGGTCGTGGATTTCAGGTGCAGTGAGACATAGGCAGCCACGCTGTTGAGCATTAGAGCCACGGGGAACATCAGGAGGTAAAGGGGGGCAAAGGGGTTTAAGTAAGTACAGACAGACTCATTTGAGGTGTTGATTAATGACCGGAAGGCACCTAAAGGAAGCAATATGACGTTAAAGTTGGACAAAGTCTATAGAAATGCAACTTTCACTCACTTTTGTTTGTGTTGTCATCCATGTCCTCTGGCCTTTCCATAAATGAGCTAAAAGATAATAACATACCATGAATCTGCAATCACTAGCTACTAATAATGATTGCTATATTGGTAGCTATAAATGAAAGAAAGCCCTCTAACAAATGCCCTTGTTACTTTTCAAACACGTTGAATTGATGTTTTTAGTTAACCATTTCTCTATAACTGCTTCATGCCTTTCACAAAATACATCTAAATTGTGAAAGCGATGATATCTCCTCATTTCACAATGAAACAGTATGCATCATTTATTAAAATGGCTCTACTTACAGTTGTGATGCCTGTGTGTCCAGCTGTAGCTCTACTATAGTAATGAGGAGGTGATTTAAACACTGTTGATTTTCATACCAAACACATCAACCTTTTGGATTGTTACAATCTGTGATAAATGATGACAAATGCAAAAATAGGAACAAGTATGTTGGTTCTGGGTGACATGAGTGACGAGTACGAGTTCATTGGTTTATTTGTCTGTTATGGTATATTGATATATGCAAAAATAAGTATTGTGCATATATTGTATGTATATATGTATATGTATGTGTATATCTATCTTCCTCTTCTCTGCATTCACTATTACTGCCACTAACAAGCCTTAAACACTTCTTCCATCATAGTTACAAGCATATATGCTTGTGTCTGGGTATATCTGTTGGACCATTTTCTAATTTATTTTTCATTTATTTATTTTGATTATTATTATTTCTTTTTGTCTCACAATGCATTTATTACCGTACAATTTCTTTATGTAACTGCAATTTATCCCTTGTCTTATCTACCTATAGGTTAAAACTTACCATTATTTATCCAGAATTATGCTTATTATCTGTCCTTTTTATTATTATTATTATAATTATTGTTATTTGTATTATCATTATTTTTATTTGTATTATTATTATTGTTATTTGTATTATTATTATTTGTATTATATTCTACATATTAATAATAATGTGCACACACACACACACACACACACACACACACACACACACACACACACACACACACACATTATCTGTTGTATCTCTTTAAATATGAATCTATCCACATATTCTTGTGTGTTTGTTGTATGTATGTTACTTTGCAAAATCAAATAAATCTTGAAAAAAAAGCAATAGTTATATACAAACATACATATAAATAATTTGGATTTTTGGTTTGTTTGGTCAACAATGTGCGTAAAAAGAATAATGTTTATTTATCTTTTAAACACTGTAATGTATCAGTATTTAATTGTAAGCAATTTTATAAATCTTTTCCACTCTTCTTTTCCACACTATTCTTCTTTCTGCCCGAGAGGACCTCTTATGGATAGGCTCTAACACACAGACACACACACTACAACACAATACGTTTGATTTGTCCACCATTTCCTTAGTTAAGTTTATTTATTACATTAGTTGTTACATTACAAAAGAAGGCTGTACCTGATTTCACACTAATTACTCAGCAGTGAATGTTTGTATGAAATAAAAGATAGATTAAATGCATTAGAAAAATATTAGGAATGTTTTTATATCATAAAGAAATTAATGAACTGGCATTTGTACAACTTTCAGTGAAAGCCATTCATGCAAATCACATGTCTTTTTATGTATTTTATTCTTGCACATACTTGTATTCAAACTTTATTCAAAACCACCTGACAACTACAAATAGACCTATTTTGAAATAGTAAGAACCTGACTTGCACACTAGATGGCAGTATAAGACAGAGTGATCAAGCTTCATTGGCTTTAAAGGAACACATTTTTGAGTGTTACTCATTTTTCTTTATGGAGCAGTTGATACGATCCCTGTTGACTTAATCATGTCAACCAGTTTACTCTTGTACTCTTTGCATAGGAACATGTAGATGAGTGGGTCCAGGCATGCATTAGTAGTGGAGAGCCACAGGGTCAGGTTGTGGAGCACCTCCAACCAAACGTGAGTGCATGCGCTCGGCTGATAGACCTCCTCTAGAGTGATGGGAATACGTATTATGTGGAGAGGCACAAAGCAGACAAAAAACACCAGTAAGACCGAAAACACCCTGAGCTTGGTTTTCTTCTTCCCTTGACTGTTGTTACTTCCAGAGTTTTTGAAAGAGTAGAGCACTTTTACTGTGATGAAAATGTAACAAAAGACAATCAGTGCACATATGAATCAGAATACAGCCTCCATGATTGCAACAACATAGCCATGCAGGATCACCCCGGCTGGGCTTTTCAACTCAAGGCAGAAGTCCTGTGACATGCTGGCAGGCACTGGCTGATTGGTTAGGACCATAGTTGGAATGCCTGTGCCCCCAAACAGGAGAAGCCAGATGAAGGAGCTCGAGACTTGGCTTAATACAACACTTTTGACTAAACTTGTTCCACATGGTTTCACTATTTTTAAGAAGCGATCAAGGCTGATCAGGCCCATCAGTGCTATGCTTGTGTACATTGAACAGTAGAATATCACATCTGAATAACGGCAGGTAAAGGCCCGGAGTTCCTCTGTGATCCCGGGTTGTAAGCTTGCAGACATCAGTGGAAGGGTCAAGGTCATGATTAGGTCAGAGACAACCAGGTTTTTCAGATAAACTATGAACGTGGATCTGGATTTGAGGTGTAAGGAGATCCAAAAGGCAATTCCATTCAAGACTAGTGCACAGGGAAACACAAGCATAAACAGGACAGACAGTGCTATGTTTGAAGTGGTGTCTGCTGAGTGACATGATGGTGAAGAAGAAGAGGAGTTTGAGGATGTTGGACGGGTGCCAGACATATTTAAAGATGCCATTGTGAGATCTAGAAGCAGATTAAACGGACTGTCAGGTTACAGAATGTAATTAGATTCACAATAGTATTTTTATTTTATTTTGATTGTTGTAAAAACTAATGAAAAGAATTGGGCAAACTTTGCTTTATTTTGTACAGCACATTGTGTACAAAGGGAAGTGCCTTAAATTACAATACTGCATTATTTACAGGTAAAAAAATTATGCAAATGTTTCTGACATTATTGATTTTTTTTCAAAAGCGATATAGTTTGACAAGCGTACTTGTGCCTGATATTTGTTTGTATCATTTGTACGACTGGTGCCCAGCACCTGAGCATTTGCATGCATACTGGATTTGACACTTTTCTTGTGTCAAAAAAAAACCAAGTTATGTAAATGTATCTTATTTTTCTTTAGTTGTGCTCAAACCATTTTATACACATATTTTCATTCCACCTGAGTTTAAAAGTGTGCTAACGTAATTAGGGCACTAATCACTTGTGCACATGTGGAAACGGTCAACACTATACCCATTAGCAGTGCAATTATACAATGTACACAAGCATAAACAGTAGATGTGGTAATAGTAGACATTCCTATTAAGAAAATACTTATATTTACTCACAAAGGCTTGCTTCCAGTCCATATGAACAGCAGACACTGAAGTCACAGGGAGCAGGGGTGATGCTTCTTAAACCAGAGGGATGCAAATGTGAGTGACATTGCGGAACGGAGGCAAAAAGCTGAGATAGACTATTATGGAGAAAAATACTGCACAATTGTTTTATTACAGTATTTATTACAGACATGATATTAGAGTCAGATTACACAAATGCCAAACTGGCTCACAATAATACTCTTTATACAAACAATAATAAAAGCACACAAAACATTCATACATTAATTTTTCATAATGCGATTAATCTCTAGTTCCATGAATGGCAACCTCTGCAGGAGCGCAGTAATGTTGCCTGGGCACGACATGCCTCAAATTATGACACTTTCAACCAATTCATGTTTTGTATTGTATTTTATTCATAATTCTTTTCATTCATTGAGGGTTTGACTGTTTGTTAGGTGAGAAAGGACATTTATTTTCACACAAAAAATGTGGAGCCTGAAAAAATATAACCATCTGTCCAACGTTAGTAATGTTACGTGGAATACAATGGAAATACAACTGCACTATTGTTGGTGTAGAGCTTTTGTGGCTTTATCGGTTTAGAATAACGTAAACAACATCCGGAGGCCAGAAGCCCACTCACAATCTGTTTCTACGCCAAATCCACGACAAGCAATTTAAAAAGCTGCTGAACAATCTTAAGCATTAAAGACATTAAAGATGATTGAGAATTTAACATTTACAATGTATATTTTTGGGAAGAAATGATTTCAAATATTAAGTATAATGCATAGTTGTCTATTTACATTTCTTTTGATATTTACATTTTTAACAGAATTTCATATTTAGTAGGGAGTGATATTTTTTGAAGGCGACAGCGGCTGGTGCTAAGTGTATTGGGTGCAGCTCTGACTGCCACCCCCCCGACCCAGGAATGGATTAAGTGGAGGAAAATGGATGGATGGATGGATGGATGATGTTTTTTGACAAAAGAAAACAAAATCACAGGATTTGAATGTATTTTGATGATTTGACGTGTGCATGCATCTAGCTGTTTGCATTTGAAAGAACCAAAATCAAAATTATGCTTTTCCTACGTGGCTGAAGTTGAATCCATGTAAGCAGAACTTCTCCCTGTTAATCTGTTGCATGTACTGAGAGGCAGACGCAGGCTTTGGAACAGCTTAACTCTGAATGATTTGCACAGAAAGAAGTAAAGGAGTGGGTCCAAAACTGAGTTTAGTGATGACAAGAATAGCATACTTTCCTTCAATTGATAGAGTTTGAGCTTGAGCTGGCAGTCAAACTTACCCACCCTGGTTTGACTCATTGTGTACGGCACTCTGGCAAAGTGGAATGGAGCAAAGCATACAAAGAAAACTACTAAGACTAAAAACACTTTTGGGTTCATTTTTCTTTTGGCACTGTTGGATTTGGGAGTCGCATTCTCTCCATCATTTTGTTGGTGGGACTTAGTACGTGTGTAGGACCTGTACAATTCTTTGGAGATAAGGGTATAACACACTGTCACTGTTGCCAAATTTCCCCAGAATATCACTTGACAAATATAGTTAACCACCTCGTGCCAATAGAGGCCAGCTGGTGTCTTAAGGTCACTGCATTTGAAGTAATGAGATGTTGGCGTGTTTTTAGTTAGAATGACATTGGGTAAACAAAGAACCAATAACACTGTCCATATGAGGCCTGAAAGAATTTTGCGTCGGGCCAAGCGGGCTGCATTTGTTCCCCGGAATGGCGTCATAGTTTTTCTGCAGCGATCGATGCTGATGAGACCAAAGAACAGGATACTAATGTACATGGAAAGGTAAAACAGGACGGATGAGACACGGCATACAAAAACCCGAAGTCCTGTGGAGGCCATGTTTGAGTCGGACAGCACCTGCATAGACATATAGACATTTTTATGACTGCACAGTGAATATTGAATTATAAAACTGAATATGTATTATTAGAACTAAACAACTATAGTACATACAATAGGTAAACAGCCAGATAAAAAAACTAAAAAGCTTTCAATTTTGGTCAATGTCTTCTTTCTCACACCAATGTATTATTTTTTATTTATTGACCTTGCCTTTACCAGGATAGTCTTAGTTAAATTTTAGAATCTCTTTCAGGGTAGCCCTGGCTTTAGGGCTTATTGTAAAATGGAGCTTTCGCGAAAATTCACTGTGGTAGACCCGGCTGCTGCTTGCCCAGACCTACAAGCCTGCTCATCCTCGACTCATCATACCAGCAACGCCCACATCTAATCAACCAATAACCACCAGGACAGCAAGTTAAAAGCCGGAGATGCCCACTTCCTGGCCTTCTGAAGTCTGCAAGCCTCCGCCGCCCCACCTCCTCCTTCTCTCATTGAAGCGTGCTTGCCTACTGCCTCTGCCGTCACCAGTGCCTAGGCCCCGGGGGGGATTATGCGCGCGATCAAGCGCCGCGCTCAACAGCATCTCTCCCGGGCCTAGGGCGCCAAACATGCTTAATCCTAAACTTCTAACTGCATTTTCCCTCATGGGTCTCTCCAAGGTGAATTGGTTTTAGTGGTGGAGGAAGCAGACGCACCTGGGGTGAAGCCTATGCAGACACAAGTGAGGAGAACATGCAACAGTGAAGGGAGATCTCTGACCACTCAACACACAAACTGCTAAAAAGGTCAAATCAATAACAGAACGTTTTCTATTTCTTTTGTGATTTTGTGATGTCTACATTCCTGGTCTTACCTTAAAAGGAAAAGTGAAAGTCATGATGACATCTGCGACCACAATGTTTTTGAGATAAATGATGAAGTGAGAGTTGGAGGGGATGCGGAAGAACACCCACATGGCCACTGTGTTGAGTATTAATCCGACCAGGAACAGGAGCGAATACAGGATTGGTAAAAATACAATCTTGAGAACGTTGTCACGGGAGCATGTGGCGTTCATCTGGCTGATGTTACCAGGAGAGACAGGGAAAGTTGAGTTTCTGTCCATGATTGGAACTGAGGAAAAGATAGAAATGTGTTATTATGTTGAATTTTCTTACAATGCTATGACTATGCTTTGAGAGCCGTGTTAGAAAAGTGTGATATATACGTATATATAATCATATTAATATTTGTTTTGGATATACAATAATTTATCTCTAAGAGATTTTGGATAGCATGATATAAGGCTGAACAAATTCATGAAGTTAATCAAATAATTCAATTACAACAAATTTTGTAAAAAATGTTTTGATTATTTTTTGGTAATTACTTATATCCTTTTTAATCTGATGCCAACACTGGTTTCAATGCAAAACTTTGGACACTGCTGTGAGTTTGCACCCACGATTCTCTGGAATGGAGTTGTATTTTTCAAGAGCACAGAATACTGCGCTAATGAAGTTGAAAGATGCTCAAGCTGCTGTTTTGACGACATACTGTCATATCAAATAGAGACTATTTGTTTCAAATATGAATCACATTATTATATGCATAATTTTATATTTTATATGCTGTTGAAATGTTTTGTGGAAAGTGAAAAAGGTGTGTAGATAACTTGATAAATCAAAGTTAATGATATTTCACAAAGTAATTCATTAGCTGCAGTCCAACAATAATGTTTTAGGCTAATTGAAATGTGCCCTTACCTTCCTATATGAACTGTCCAGCTGTGGTTTACTCTCAGGGCTCACTTCTGCAGATGTAGTCAGTGGTGTGTTGTGTGGTTACTTATTGCAACACTAAAATGTAGGCTTCTTCTTTCTCTTTCCTGACCTGATTCAAACTGCACTCTGACTCAAATCTGTTCTTGAGTTCAAACTGAGGATTAAATATCGCAACACATATCAAATGCATGGACAACTATTTCCTATCAGAAACGATACACTTTCAGAGTGTTAGAAAATATTAGAATGTTTTGCAATAATAGGTTCTAGAAACTGACCAATACAGACAATATGTATTTATTTTTTAACCTTTATTTGTCCCCCTGGGATTTCAGAATCTCCTTTTCAGGGGGTTCCTGGCACCAGACAGTGGGGAGTGGGTTTGGGGAGGAAGTTATAAGGGACTATTGTATATGTTTTTACTGCAATGCAATGCAGTAGAACAGGTTTTAATGTTTTTTTTTTATTCATGGCACTACTTTGTATGTATTAGTTGATCATTCTATTATTAAAAACTCTCAGCTTCCTGCTAATACAACAGGCTGAAGGGCCTTTTAAGCAACAAAAGTCGTGTGTGTGTCTGTGAGGGCAGCACTGCGCTGGTCAGCAGGATTCACTTCCACACTGTCTACTATCATGTTTAAAGCTTGTCCACAGAATTGGATGTGTTTACAGTAAATGCAGCCATTATTTGATGCTGTGGTTGGGAATTGTTCTTTGTCTGGACCATAGATCACTGTTTACAACTGTTTATATTTTTAAAACCTGATATTGTGTTTCTGTTTCTCGCCTTCAGTAAGGTCTATCAAATTGTTTTACTAGAAAGATATACAGCTCCTAAAATCTTTGCACAGAACAGATTGCAAACAGATTTGGATATTGTTGTCTTTGCTCAGTTAACCCGTAATGCAGACTCTCTTCAGTGCTCTTTCTACCCTAACTCTTGTCCATTCATAGACCCTGTTACCCTTAGCCCTTACTGTCACTTGAGTGAAATGAGCACCTTCACATCCTGTCAGCAAAGAGCTCTCTCAACACAGCTTTCACTTAAACCAACCACATAATCGGTATTTGAACAGCTTTTATCACAACAACATGGACCTGGGGTTAAGGAAAGGTTGATGCCATGTTTGAGGATTGAGCTAAAACAGTCACTCTAACAGCTGTGTTTGGGGGCCTCCAAAGTGAACTTTGACCGATGGAGCCACAGATCATGTTGTGGCAGGTCGCATGCACTTATTTACATAGACGGGCATCCAAATACAACATCCAGGCCCAGGGTGGCCTTTGCATGTTGCTTGTTTGTGACTGTCTTCATCTATGATTAATAATGTCTAGGTTAAGTTGCTTGGAAGCCTTGTAAGTCAAGTTCCAAGTAGCGCAGTCGCTTGCTGAAAAATGTGTTCGCCACACTTTGTTTTGACAGTATAAGGTTTCTGTAGCTACTCCAGTGTGCCCAGTCCAGTCTACTCAAGAGGCATGGTCTGTCTCACATGCACTGTCAACATAAATCTGACAAATCTGAAACAGCCTGTAGTTTGGAAAAATGGAGGAAAGGAAAGGGAGGGGGTTGCTTTTAGCTTTTATTTAGTGCCATGATCCTTCATCAAAAAGACAATTTACAGTCATTATTTTGCCTCAACCAGTCTTTGAGGAGGTATTTAGGGTTAGACCTATTTTTTTTGTGTTCACTTTTTGTGTGGGCTTAGCCAACATACCCACACACAACACTCAGAGAATGAAATCTTTCATTGGAGAAAAAAATGCCCTGTTTATTTATGGGCCTTGTTGAATTTCTATTTTCCCGCATTTCTCCCATATGCCCAAAATGTGATTTCTTTTATCGTCAACATCTAAACTGCCCACGTCCAACTGGCTCCTGAAACAGAGGACAGTGTTTTTGATTTCATCCTCCTCATTGCCCTAGCAACTGTGTTTGTTTGGGAGCCTGTTCTGAATCTGCTTTCATCTGGTCTACATATTAGTCGACGACCTATCAAACTCCACCAACACACTAAGACTTTTCCATGACGCAAGGCTGTCTTTCTCTCAGTTTTTTTTTGTAACAGACTGCAATGTAATCGCACTAGGGAAACATATTTCTGGTTTTATTTCCAGCACTCCTGACATGTGCCAACAGCGACATTCTTCACGGCTAGTATTGATGTTTGTCTGATATTCCCTCATCTCCCTGTTGAAGAGTAGAGTGCCGAGAGGTGGTATCAATAATGGAAACTTGGAAGACAACGCCATCTTTGAACGTTCTTCAGGTGGCAGGATGCCGTACATATTTGACACCATATCGCTGTATGCTCGGCGGAGCAGGTATGAGGTGTCAATCTGCACTAAAGCAAGGCCATAATATCAGAGCTATTCACACTGTCAATGACCAATGGCTACATGGTATTCAGGTAGGAAACAGTTTAACAAAGCTGCTCTTGTCTTCAATACCACATCCCTTTAACATGTTGAGTCAAAACCATCAAAGTATTTTACAATCTGGAATGAGTACAAGATTGTGGGCTATTGTTTTGAATGTAAAGCACTCAGTTTTTCTATTGGAACAGCCCCGCCAACTGTGTGATGACAGTGGTGATGACAAAATGTACATGCTTGATCATCTCTGATCCTATCAGAGATTGGAGCAGGGGAATGATCTTCAATTTGTAAAAGTTAACTTTTAGGCGTTTCAAGAAATTATTTTGAAAACGAGGTGCTCTGTCATCTGCAAAGGGGCCATTACATCCGTACAAGGTGCATCAATGGGAGAAATTTTCTGGACCCAAACTTATGCAGCACTGCAATTGGGCCAGAACAACTTTTATCATCAAGCAAGAGTGTCCGCGTTCTATTAAGATAATACACATTATTCTGTCTTCTTACAACATCACATGACATACTTTCAACTATATTTGATGAATAATGTCCCCAATAGGGCATTATTTTAATTGGTGCTTACTTTGCTTAGATTTTTTTTATTGAGTGTGTATTTTGGCTCTCTGACCTCCTTAAAACTACTGGCCGTTTGCAGGCCCCCTGGCACATCCATAACACTAATTTTTTACAGCCTCATCAGTTGCCTCCCGCAGAAGCCATGAAAGAGCAGTGCCATATTGTTTTTTGCTGGTTAATTGGGGGATCTGGCCTGTTTTAAGCCATTCCACTCTTCGGGACATGGCCACTTAAAAGTACTTTGATGTTGGAAGCTTGACATTAGTTTTGATAGTGGGCTGGAGTTGTCCGCACAAGGACTCCACAAAGACTCAAGATCACATCTGCTGTCAATTACCATACTGCGCCCCCGCTTCCACATTTCCACTGGCCCCAAAGCACAAACCAAAAAATATGGCCCTATTAAAGGTGAAAACCTTTAAGCCTTTTCTATGTACCGATAAACCATGTAATATGTCTGGTACCTGATTTTTTTTACTCATTAAATCTGTTTTCCTTAACGCTTGCATAATTTTTTAGGCTATAAGCTAATACGTAAGTAAGTAAGTATATATACATAGTCTATATGCATACATATATTGTCTCATAATCTACACTTTGCTTTTGGTCTAAAAATGACTTTGTAATTTTTTTGTCATGGCATGTGTCATTATTGATTCTGTAACTGTAGTGTAACATTTGAAGATCCCAGACACTAGGCAGGATACGGATACTGTGGATTGAGTTAATGAAGTGGATGTAATTATTTATACATAATGTGTGGTTTGATAGAAGGAATTACTTTTCTCAGGTCTATAACGTAACTTTTTTGCAGAGTGTGGGAGTTATACCTCATACCAAAACTATTTCTTACCTGTCTCTGGTGTTCTCTGAGACTGACTACATTCAAACCTGATTTCCTTTTGAGTAGAATCCTACATATCCTGCTTGTAAAGTAAAAAAATGTTGCCACTATTGTTTTGTCATAATTAGTCTAAACTGGACTGGCTCTTTATGCAGCTGGAATAGTTGTGCTTTCTCACAATGGAACAATGGAAAGATTCAAGATTTTCATTAGGTGTTAAATGTAACTTTTGTTAGTGGCACAGTATATTTTCATATATTTGTATCCTTTCCTTCCTATCCTATTGTTTCTTCATTTGATGTGCATGACTATATACATGCAGTACAAAACATTAGTGTTAACTTATTTCTTTCTAACTAAAATGCTTATAATTTGGGTTCTTCATGCCACTTCTGAGAAAACTGATTCTTAGGTGTTTGTTCCACCTTTTCACATCCTCTATGAAGGATGCTCTGTAGTTCACATGTGCAACCAGTTTTTTGTCAAATTATAATGCAAGCTGCCCACATTCCAAAGTTTATGGAAGACGATTCCCCCTTCCCTCGCCATATCCGTCTTAGAGATATTACACTTCTGGCTTTTTTGTACCAAGTGTTTGCGGTTGAAGTTTGTTCTGGCAGGTTCTGACAATTAGACAGATTAAATCATGTCTTTGTCCGGTCTCCCTTTATTTTCTAAAAAAAAAAACAGTGGTACCATACATCAGTCCATTTTATCTATACATTGACAACATCCTTCTCTGCCCAGACATCTTTTAAATAAGCAAGAGGACAACACATCAATATACAATTATAATAAATACTGTTCACAGATGAAACTGAATATTGTTGAGGTTGAGTTTCTCTACATAAATAAATATCCTGTTAAAGTTGTATTTTGTTGGTTCAATGACATGTCAACTCACAAACTGCATTTCCTAGTATAGTAATTCACAAGCACACATAATAATAAACTGTACACATAATCCATAGTCTTATAATATTCCCAACAAATGACTATCGAGTAGATACTACAAACAATAAACTGCAATATTACAGAGTAGCATAATGTATAACATTATTTACATATTTTGTGCACAACACAATAGATTGGCTTAAAATGGGACACTGTAGGGGGAAAAACTATCAATTACATTGTCAATATTTAAAATATATCCAGTGTAACTTTGTTTATAATTGACAGAGATCGCTCTTTCATGTTAACGTCAAAAGGGAGAATTTTTTGTATTTATGTTATTTTGTGAAGCCGGAACACTCATTGTTTGCATAATCCAGGTCATGCGGAAATACAGATACAGCCATGTTATCATGTTGTAATAGCCTAACACTGGGTTGTTTATCTATTTCATGAAAGTACACTCACATATGTGGCTGTTGCATCAGTTCCCAGATAGTTTTTGGCAAGACATTTGTATGTGCCAGCATCAGAGAAGGTGGGTCTCTGTATGATCAGTGTTCCCTGTGGATGGAGGAGCTCACTCCCTATGTGCTGGCCCTGCTCTGCTGTTGACAGCAGAGTATGATCAGGCAGCTCCCATGTGATTTCTGCTTTCGGAATCCCAACAGCCACACAGGGGAGCTGCAGCGGCGCACCTCTGATAGCTCGTACTGAGGCTGGAGGTCCTGCGGTGATGCGTGGGGGGTATGCAATAATGACCACCGGCACCGTGAGCACAGCTTCTCCTGCATCATTCCTGGCTCTGCACATGTAGCTTCCTTTGTCATGTGCTGTTGTGTCATGAATGGTTAATGTACCATTCTCCAGAAGGTGATAGCGACCTAAGACCTGAGGGCGAGCCATTGTGTGCCCGCCAGGAATAGTCCATGAAATTGTGGGCCTGGGGTTTCCATCTGACAGACAGTGAAGAAACAGGGGCTCACCAGACACACTGCGAATAATTCCTTTGGGCCTTGTCAAGATATAAGGCTTTTGTCCAACCTCCAGCAAAACTAACTTTTCTATGTAACCCATGTAATTCTTGGCACCACATCTGTATTTCCCAGCATCCTCTTTTTGTGGGCTATAGATAACTAGACTTCCATCATTACTAAGGTGACTGGTGATGCGCCCTTGAATATGATTAAATCTTGTTCCATTGGGCAAAGTCCAGAAGATCTCAGGGGCCGGGTTCCCACTGGCAGAACAGTTCAGAACTACAGTTTTACCAATCCGAGAAACTATTCGTTCATTAAAGGGATTCTTAAAGATGGGTCTCTGTAGCGTACCTGTAACTTTGAGCTCAACCACCATAATCGCCTCCCCACCCTCATTCCTTGCCATGCAAATAAATTCTGCATTGTCAGTTGGCCTCACATTCTTTATTTCTAATGTGCCATTATGATGGACATTAATTCTACTCCCGAAGTAAGGAGCAGAGAGGAAAATGTTATCAGGCATAATCCACGTGACAGTAGGTGTGGGGTCGCCTTTAGCCTTACAGTCAATTAGTTTTCTAGTGTATTTAGCTGCAACATCTCTAATTACTGTTCTATTTTGATGGTAACCATTGATGATTGGAAGGTTCCCGTCTATTTCAACTGTATAAATCTTTCTACCCTCACCTGCAGGGTTGCGAGCCATGCAGATGTAGTCCCCTACATCTCCAAATTTCACTTCTCTAATATCAAGAGAGCCATTGACATGGACTAAGTAACGGTCATTGGAGGCAGCTATTACATCTTTGGAGGGCAGCATCCAAAGGATCTTGGGCTTTGGTTCTCCAACTGCATGACAGTCCAAACGAACGTTCCCTCTGACCTTCACTCTAGCCCTGGCCAACGTTGGTGCATGTATGTGTGGAGCTGATGTCACCACAGTGATATGAACATGCATTTCATCTTTCCCCACTTGGTTCTCAGCATAACAGGTATAGTCTCCTTCCTCGGACATGCTAACCTGAGAACAAAAGCAAAATAGAAAGACATTACAATAAGAACTAATTCAGTTGCTGACCACTTAACAATGTTTAGTTTCTTACAAACCTGATTAAGGTAAAGGGTTCCGTTGTCAAAGAGCGTATAACGCCGCATTCGTCCTCCTCTACCTACTGCACCTCTGCCGTCAGACTGATAAACATTGTTGACCACTGTCCCATCAGGGAGACCCCAGGAAATCTCCGGCTTTGGTGCTCCAGAGGCTTTGCAGTCCACCTTAAGGTCCTTCCCAAAAGTCACCTGCTTTTTGTCATGAAGCTTTCTTTCTATCTTGGCTGGCTTCATTGAAACCCTGACCGTTAAAAGCTGAAGGTCATCGCCAATTATGTTCCGTGCCACACAGAGATATTCTCCGGCATCTTTATCACTCACAGAGTTAATTATTAGTGTGCCATTTTCAAGGACGTGGATTCGGCTTCCCATTCTTTGAACAAGAAGAAAGAAGACATTTTGGTTTTAAGATTCATGATAGCCCTTATGCATACATTCAAACAAATTAAAGAAGTTATTCCTTATGTTACCTGTGCCAGTGGTCCACCAAAGCTTTAGAGGGCAGCCTCCACATGATCCTAGGAGTAGGCTCTCCTTGAGCTGTGCAGTTTAGTGTCAGTTTATCACCAAAGTGGAGATCTGTGAGACGCTGAGATATCTGCATGATTTGGGGCATGGACTCATACTTCTCAACCATCAGTGTCACAACTCTGCGCTCTGAACCAGTGGAGCTGGTTGCAATACATTCATATTTGCCACTGTCTGACAGCAGTGCATCTTTAATCTGTAGTGTTCCATTATCGTGCACAGATATCCTGGTTCCACCAGGTCCATTTCTGGCTGAGAGCACTTTTCCGTCAAATAAGACCCAATGAATACTGGGCAGTGGGCTGCCGTAGCCAGTGCATGGGAACCATATATTCTGATTTGCTGAAATTTTGATGACCTGTCGTTTTTCTTCTAATATTCCTGGCGGAGCTGCCACTACCTGTAGTTTCACTGTGGCAGTATCTGCCCCAGCAGGATTACTGGCAATGCATTTATAATGTCCTCTGTCATAAACAGAAACCTGTTCAAAGACTAAAGTGCCTTGTTTGTTGACTGTCACTCTCCCATCTGAGTTTTGGCCTCTAACTTGGGTCCGGTTAGCCAGAATCCAAGTTATCAGTGGAGCAGGCCGGCCCTCTGCGTTACAATTGATCTCCACTCGATTTCCTGCATGTGATTTAAGCTCTCGCATTTTGGGCTCCAGAATGCGGGAAGGATAAGCCACTACTGAAAGTGTTACCATGAGTTTGTCCATACCATGTTTATTTTCAGCTTGACAGAGATACTGGCCTCGATCTTTTATGTTAGCATTTTGGATTAGCAATGTTCCGTTTCCAAGCACCTCGAATTTTCCTACTTTCCCTGTGATAGTGATGGTGTTTCCTGGAGAGAAAAAAAAAACATCAAAATACACAATTACAAGTCTAAAAACGTTAAACATAATAACATCTTGAAATATTGGTAAAACAAATGAACAAATGTATACCTGATCCTGTTGAGAAACGTCTCCAGCTGATAGTAGGCGGAGGGTTTCCAACTGCTTCACACGGCACAAAGGCATCTGAGTCTGACAATACAGTGAAGCTGGCTACATTCCCTCCAATAATCCTGGGTTTGCTGGTCATCAGAGTAGACGTAGATTCAAAGGGAACTGTATTCACATGATTAGAACTATAGCCAGTTGTCACAGAAGGATAGACTTTGGATACAACGTTGTTTTGGTTGGACACAGGTGTTTTTGTGTGCCCTTGCTCAGAACTAATTTTGTTTTTTAATGTTGGCCTATATGTGGTGACTTTTTGATTTGGATCGATGGAATTTGTAACTTTATTATTTGATGTTGTGTAAAATACCTTTGTGGTGGTTGGTAAGAATGTTGTGGAATACGTTTTAACAGAAGTCCTACTGGGAGCTGGGGTTGTAAATTGTTGTTGCTTTGTGTAACTTGAAGTTGGAGATTTTGTAGTTAGTTTAGTTAACTTGGTCACTGTTACTGTAGTTCTTGGTGGGGCATTATAGTCTTTATTATTTGGCCTTCTGCCTCTAAATGGCCTCCTTCTCCGTCCATTTCTGCCTTTTGTACCACTGGGCTTTTTTCTACTGAACCAATCATTAGATATTCCTCCAGAACCAGACATAACATCTTCACTAATGGCTGGTTTGACAGTTGGAGGCAATGGTAAAGTTTGTGACTCAGTTTGAGCTGTAGTTAATTGTGAGTTATATGATGGCGTGGTATATGGCCGAGGGTGAAGTCTTGGCTTTTCTGTGGTGAACTCAAAATCTGCAGATACGTCTCCATAGTCCTCATCTACAGAGCTCTCCTTCACATGTGTGTGGGTGGGAGCTGTGTCAGGTAAAGCTATTGCATATGGCTTGATTGTAGGCACAGCCACAGGGGTTGTAGTAGCAGTCACAGTTGTTGTTTCAGCTGTAGTGGAAATGGTAGGCGTGATAGATGGTTTCCGAGACTGGCTGCCTGTATTTTCTCTTCTCAGTGGTCGGTGCCAAGAAATTCTCCCACTAGTAGTAGCAGCAGATGCTTCCTGGTTTGTGATCAAAAGTGGGTCACTGGTTGGGGCTAACTCAGGTGCATCAGCTGAAGTTATGAAGTCTCTTGTGGAGAGCAATTCCCTGGGTCCAGCATTGGTAGGTTCTTTTAGAGGAATGTCACTGTTTGTGTATTGAACGCTGGTCGGCCTCTGAGCTGGAGAGGCAGTTGGCGTCAGGACATGCACTTCACGGACAGCTGTTTTTGCCCCGTCATTGTCACACTGACACTCTGAAAACCAAAAAGGAAGAATAATATACATCATTTCAATTTTAAGATCTTAAATCATCACATGCAATACACACATTCACTATTGAAAAAACCCAAACATATTTACTTTTTACTAATTTAGAAATAAATAGCTTTGAAATTTGAATGTGATTTATCCTCTCTCCACTTAAATCTTACTATTAATTCTGGTGCAATCCTTTTTATCATAAACATCAGCAACATTACTATAATTTTAATTAAAATCTAAATAAAGATAAAGATGAACACACTGAAACTATACGCATTAACAAATGTCTGTAAGCACAATATTTTTTTTCTTTTGACCACTAAATTTTAAAATATGAATCTCTGAGCATTAGTTTGATTATAATGATAGCTGATTTTCTCACCTGTAGTCACTTGAATGGTATATGGGACTGTAGAATTGCCCCTCTTGTTTGCTGTAGCCTGCTTGATTTGACTGAGAAACAACTGTATATCTGTGATCCTGTTTGGTTTGATGATTCTTCGCTGTCCATGAAATGACTTTCTTCTCCCTCCTTCTCTATTGTTACTCGGAATTATATGGAGGTGCTGCCTGGATATGATAGTTGATCCCGAACGAAGGATTGGAGATTTAATGGTTTGAGTAGTATGGAAAGTGACCTTGTCTTGTTGCCTCCCTGCTGTTGTAACAGCGGTGAGTGTGGTGTGGGGTCCTGAATCTGGGGACCCGTACACCTGAGCCCCTGTTCCATCTTTCATTGGAGTAACATGAAGATCTGTTGTGAATGAATTGGCAGTAGATGTTTCTGGATCATCAAGTTGCTGGGTTGAAAACAATGGCTGATATGGAACAGTAATTGGATGCATGTTAAAAGCAAGATTAGATGTTCTCTCCAAAGTATAATCTTCAGTAGGTTCATGAAAAGTAGGAGAGTATTTATATTGTAATGGTCCCTTGCTCTGACTCTCTGTAGGATAGTTCATCTGTGAAGTCCTGGGCTGAAAATAAGATTCGGTTGTCTCCATGTTAGCATTATCTGTAGTAGAATACTTATTGCCATCACTCACAAAGGTTCTTGTTTCTATTTCTTTGTTTTTACCTACATTTGCCCATTGGATACTGTTTTCTGACCCAGTTGTAATTGGGATGAGATCCTCAGGGTTCTCACCAGAACTGACATTGTCATCACCAGAAAAGGTATTTGGCTCTGCAGGATTTATGTCACTGCTGGTTCTCGCTCTATTTTTAACCTTATTGAAAAGTTGTGCAAATCTTTCTAGGTCCATTTTCTTGTATGACTTATCTAATACTCGATTTCTGCTGCTGAATGGACCCCTCCTTCTATGAAGTCGTCTACTTTCTAAGTGTTCCCTGTTGCTGTATCTATGTTGGGGATACGGCCTGTCTGATGTTTTAGTTCTAGATTCTTGACTTGTTTCATTATCAGTGCTTAATAAAGGATTTTCATTATTGTCTTCCTCTATGTCTGTCTTGCCAGGAATCACCTCACCGTCGTCTAAAACAGTTACCGCTTTAATCTCTTCTCCAGTCACCAAAACATGGGACACTAATAAGTCGACTCCTAAACGATTGGATACTAGACATCTATAAAACCCTCCATCTCTTTTTGTAAGACTCTCTACCTCTAGCGATCCATTTTTGTACACTTTTATTTTGTCTTGTTTGGAGTCTACAATGCTATGATCTGGAAGAATCCACTTAATTGAAGGCTTAGGACTTCCTGATGAACCACAATCAAGTAACAGCTTTTCTCCCAACTGCTTTGTCAGCTGGGGGCCATTGATCTCCGTTTCTTCAACATCAGGAGAAAGAATGTTCAATCTGAAGGTGAGAACATCTGAATCCAGGTAGTTAGTGGCAATACAATGATACAGTCCTATGTCAGATGCAGCCACTCCTCGAATGGTTAGCGTTCCATCTGCTGAGATCAGGAGCTTCTTGTCCTCACTGCTGAAAGGAGCCCTAACCTTATTCCCATCTGGTAAAATCCACTCCAATCTTGGTTTAGGCTCACCGACCACTGCACAGCTGAATTGGGCAACTCCACCTGTGTTAAAAATAAGCACACAATCAAACATACTGTATGTACTTTTACTCTGATGCTGAGTTTTAATTTCCTGATTGCCATATTTTTATTCTCCCTTTCGGTTCTGTTGAGGTTAGACTTATACATTTTATTGGCTTGTCTAAATGTTAAACAAACCTGTAAGTGCAGTATGTTGAGTTTTGGTCTCATTGTCATGCTTGATCATGGTCCAAGAGTAGCCATCTCTGTTAGTCGGTCTATTATCGAGCCGCAGGCGAACCACAGACTGGTATTTCACGTGTAGCGTGGAGAAGGTTGTTGGTGTCCGATCGAGCTGCAATTTAATCTCTGGCTGTAATAGCAGGGCAGGGCTTGCTTTAATCACAGCTTCAATGTTTGTGTGAAAATCGTCATCTTCGTCAGTGGTTTTAACTTGACTGTATCTGTACTGCATTTCTGGGGTTTTAGCAGTCATTTGACCTCTTCTCAACTGCATTGGCAAGTCACTGTAAAGAGCCCAGATTTGCCATAGCTGCTGCATATGCTCATGATCAACATTACAGATCAAATATGTTGTCATGCTTGAAGTGATTTGGGTTACACCATCTTCTCCCAAGAGCACAGTCACATTATCAGAAGCAGAGGGCCTCTGGACTGTACAGGACAGGCTGCCTTCGTTGTGGAAATGGTCTGTAAGGTTCATTTGTATAGTCCCTAAAGGTGCAATAAAGTCTTTGGGAAAAAGTTGACTGTAGTCCCCCTCATCAACAGTAATATTTTTTTGCTTAAGATGAGCTTGAATCTCAGGTTTGGAACAGATGAAGAAATCGTTTGAAAGAAGTGACAACGGTTTGTTGAAATGGATGTATGGATTTTTACAAACTGGGCAAAGCTGGCCTCTCCGATCACGCTTGCACTTCAAAACACCTATAGAAACAGCAAAGAATGAGTATTATTATCATTATTATTATTATTGTTAAGTGTATATACTGTATATATATATATATATAAATAACTAGAGTATTCTAGAATTTACATATCTTTTTTATAATGTTGTAATGCAACATGGACATTATCAGAGATCATATTCCAAATGCAAATTTTGAGTGAAATAGAATAAAATTCTCACCAACATTCCTGGTTCTCCACTTTTGAAACCATGCCATGCGGCAGTCACAACTCCAAGGGTTCCCATGGAGGAATAGATTGTCGAGCTGGATGGAGGATGGGAAAATGTCTGCAGGAAGGCTGGACAGGAGGTTGTCTGACAGGTGGATGCTTTTGACTGAAGAAACTTCAAACAGCTGGTTATACCTCACTGTAATAAATGTGTCTGGGTGAATCTGCTGAAGATAGTTGCCTTCCAGGTTTACTAACTGGAGACTGTTTAGGCCGTAGAATGTGTTTGGATGAATAAACTGCAAATGATTGTGGTCCAAGTAAAGTCTTTTGATACTTTGTAGACCTGCAAACGTCTCTTTGTCTATTTTCTCTAATTTGTTATAGGACATCTTCAGAACCTGTAAAAAAAAAAAAAACAGTTAGGTTTCTCAAAAATCCTTGTAAAATCATTGCAGAAACACTTTATTGTAGACCCAATCGGATACTGTCATACCTGTAGTGAGGGCAAATCTTTGAAAGCTCCATCTTCAATGTCAAGGATGGTGTTACTATGCAACATCAATAACTCTAAGTGTTTTAGTCCAATTAGGTCATTTTCTTTTATCATGGCTATACTGTTGTACCTAAAAGACACACACATATGTACACATTTTCATGTGTGCCATGTTGTCAATCCAAGATTGTTCATAGGAGACGAACTCACCCCATGTTCAATTTCTCCACAGATGGTTGAATATTCTCCGGTACTGTGATCAAGTATCTGAAGGTGCAGTGGACTTCGTTGGGGACATGGCAGGTGCAGGATTTGGGGCAGTCTCCTCCCTCCGCTGTGAAGCACGTGGTCAACAGCACAAGAAGAGCCCTCAGCACACCCCCCATCAGGTACGAGACGCCACTGGCTCTTTCATTCATCTTACAGGCACAAAACACATATGCATACTTCAAAACAGCTCTTTGTCACTCAAATAGTTAATTGAACTCGAAAAGCAATGTGTCTTCATAAATATTACACCATAATGATTGTATTTCTTACTTGTCCTGTACTTACACTACCAAAATCGCACTAATCCCCTTATAGTTTGGTAATGTGATATATCCTATTACACTCCTATTGGGGGTAGTAAACAATTGCTATAAACTTACAAATAACCCTAATACATTACAAAAATAATTAAAATTCAGGTTTCAGGCAAATATTCTTGCTTGGCCTATGAACAGAGTTACTTTATGTGCAATCTTGTAAAGTGGGTAACAAATAAATGAAATGTACTCTTTTTTTCAGAATTATTCTTGACAACCTGTATATTGGTGTGTAAAAATAACACAAAGACACAAACATCCAAAACCTGAACAATCAAACTCACTCTTAATTCTCTGCAGTTATCTATACTTACTGTACTATTAAGTCATGCAAAGTGTCATTGTTTGTCTTTCTTCCTACCTTATAATGTGAAAAGCACAGTTATATGATCCACTTCAGTTGAGTATTACTCCAGATGAAAGTTTGAGGTAAGTCCACCGTGTGAGACGCTCAGAGATGAGAGGCATCTGAGCCTGAGCTCCAGCTTCAGCCCCTGCTCTGTGCTCTCCCCCGCCCCCTGTAATGAAATGTAACCCTCAAATAACCAGCACTCCATTCAACAAATACTGGTGGTAAACTCATACATCATTTTACTGTTTGGCCTCCTAAGTAAAAAAAAACAAAAACCTCAGCTCATTAAATTGTTGTCCGTGTGGATTACTTATTGCAGATTTATTGTGCTCTGACTGAATATCAAATCCAGTTCTTCCTATTGACTGTCGCATACCTTATATTCATAGCGTTAAATCAACAAACAGTGCTCCTGAAACGGAAACTATAAAAGAAAATCATGTGTGTTTTGACTTTTCCCTTTCATAAAGCTGCTGATGCACACTGTCAGCTGCCACAGAGAGTACAAACGATACCATTTTTACAGACAACGATGCAGTATTTATGGCACACATCTATGGGGTGACTTCATCGTGAAAATGTAGATGCTTGGTGCTATTGGACATGCATTCAAGAGGGCAACAGTTGGTTTAAGCTGCAGGTGATGGTGCTTTGTAGCTTGTGATGTTTGAATTGTTTGTTTGAACATCTGGAGACGACAGAACATACAAACAAGAACAATATGGCATTGTGGTTGAGTTTCTTTTTCTTGTTTGAAAAATATGAATAGCAGTGACACTCCTTGCCAAGACAAAGCTTCCTTGGTTTTACTATAGCTTTTAATCTACGTCAATATAATTGTGTGCGATCCAAGGGCAAGTTGAAATCTTCAATACAGCATTGTTCTTTCTAATGGACAGCAGATTTTTGGCGTCTTCTCTGTTGTCAAAGTTGCTGAAAAGATGTGGAGAGGTGAGGTTGGTTGTTAAAAGTCACAGTTAGCTGGGAAGCTTTGAGGAATCTGTAGACACATACAGCTTTGGCCTCACATCGACACACTCACTGCTCAGTCAGGACCCGGGCCCCTTTGTGGGAGGTGATTGACAGGAATAGCGTGGTTTGGAAATAATATCCACTTACATGACGACGCCTCAGTAAGCTTCACAGTCGAGTTGGGCAGATCATAGAAACATCAATTGTTCAATGTCGTTTAGAGCATACATATTTATTTATACTTAAAATAATTTATTGAATTAAAATATAAAATATATTAAACATGTTTGTTATGATGTGTTTTTACTAAAAACATATAACAAAGGATTATATTATCACATCGTTTCTTGTAAATTAACTTATTTTTCTGTAGACAAACATGCTTTCTCACACACATCATGTTATTTTGTGAAAGGAGGAATCTGGAAGTGGTTATGACAAAGTGAATGTGGTGGTTTTAGTTGTTCCAAAGTTGACTTTACTTTTTGCAAGTTTATGAAGGTAGATCTTGTCTTCTTTGTAGATTTGTATGTAATTTGGTCCTTCTATACCAGACAATTGAAAGCATCTGCTCTTCAGGGGAAGACGGAAGTTACCGTCAAAGTATGTCAAGGTAATTACATTGCCATCTTACAAATATTCTGGTATTGAAGAACCAAATAATTTACTTTTTGTTGTTGGAGGTTTGAGAATAGAGACTCAGTTTCCCATCTTTTTAATGTTTTAATAATAATTAATAATAATTATATTTATTTTCTTGGTGCTTTTTAATACACCCAAGGACACTTTACAATATGATATAACATTGCATTTCGCTCAATAGTCTGCTGTGATTCACAAAATAAACTTTATAACCTCCTTATACAAAGCTGCCTTTCAGTCATGTGACCCGGCCTTCGCTTTCCACCATTTTTGTGGCCGTCCGACAGTAAACAAAGTTGCGTTTGGAGACATAAGCAAACATTACAAAGTCGCTCGGGAGCATCCGCCAGAAACCACGTTTACAACAAAGTGAAATTTGTGAACATTTTCTGAGATTTGAAAGATGCACATTGTTTGTACAAGTCGGGAAAACAACTTAGCAGGTTCAGTGAATCATGGTGAGTTTTCTTGTCTTTTGTTCATAATATGAGAGCAACAGATAAGCACAATAATGGCATCAATCACAAAGCACTTTCAGCTCATGTTTTATGTGAATGGGGCTCAAGTCAGAACACCTAGCCTCTCAACACAAAACGTCAAATCCAGAGGATGTTTTTATTGAACTCCTCGCTTATCTTGCAAAGGAAAAGCAATGTTTACCAATGACGAGGATCTACATGCTTGTTTTAGGGAGGGATTATTCATATCTGACAAGACTGACTGTGGCTTTTCCTGGTTTCCTTGGTTATAATAGGATCCTGAGAGGAACTGAAAAGTATGTAAGCAAACACCACAATGTTATTTATATACCTTGTTCTTGGGTCTCTTGTAAAACACTTATTTTCCAATAAAAGTGGTTCTTGACATAGCTTAACATGTTCAAAGGAGCACCAGGCCAGAGGTCTCTGTCGGTGTTTGGAAAGACACGTGTTAGCCCTTATTCATAGTGACGCAGACTTGAACCTCTGGTGGAAAATGTTTCGGCCCAGATGTCTGCGGTGATAGCATGAGGAGGTTGGTCATAATTGACATATTGAGAATGTAAAGGCTGACTTATGCTTACCCAAGAATAGGGACAACATTAGATACCGAAATGGATGGCAAACCATTGTTTCCTCGCTGGTTTATACTAAAATCTTTCTGCAGAGCTTGAAAAGCAGAGACGTTCCAGGACTAGATAAATGGAAGCCCTTAATGAAATATAATCTAAGCCTTGAAATAACACTGTCAGCAGAACCAAATAACTAAATACAATTTTATTATGTATGCAGAACCTATAACCAACCCAACACTATCCATAATAAGTAGAAGTAATTTCAAACATTTTTAGACCATAGGAGGAGGAATTGAGCTCTAGGAGTGTTTTGTCTATCTATGTCTTGTCTGTCTATGTCTGTCATGTCCCCTTGTTTGTCCATGCTATTTTCTTTGCCTTATTTACAGTATATTGATTGATGCTTGTATGGTGTTTATTGGTTGCAGAGGACATAATTGATTGTAATGAGGGCATATTTTTTGTTTTGAATTGTTACTGCCATCTGTCATTGGTGGCCAGACCTTGAAATAATGCAGTTAAAAAAATAAAATAAAAAAGAGATAATCTTTTCAAATGTGCTTGTAATGGCTATTTGAAATTTGCAATAGAAATGTAGGCTTAGTACTTCACTGATATAAAGTATTAAACATTGTTTCAAATTTAATTTATCATTGAGGCTTTTTACACACTTGTATAATTGAGTTGGTATTTTCATTACTGTACTCAAAATGTTTTAATTTCAAACATTCTAAAGCCAATTGTCAGAACAAGAATCAGTTCTGGTTGCATTGAAAGGCTGTGATAATCAAACCCTGCTCTACTGTTTTATTGTATGATAATGATGATGATGTGTTTATATTTTTGCATGTTCTACCATGGGTTGAATGTTTATGAATATGTCAGAGGAACTCTAAACAAATCAGCAACACTCCCCGTGGACCCCCTGTGTTTGTCTCTGTTGATCATCTTGATTGTTACAGCTCAATCTTTTTTCTAGAATGACCCATGTGTTGTCACATGTATAATATCAATCTAAACCTTTCTAGAAACAATAGCCTCAAATACTTGACCTCATCTTTTGGTACTTTCCTTTGTTGTTGGCTAGATCTGTGTATTTTGCAAGAAACATGTGCTAAAACAACACACGGTATGCACGATATAATAGATTAGATCGCGTCTCAGCGGCCATATTTTCTGCATTTGGAGCGTAAAGATTTTCTAGACTTTGCAGCTTTATGAGTAACTGTTGTTTCCATTTTCAAAATTCTGTTAACCAGACCGTGAAAGTATACTGGTCTGGAAGCAACTAAAATTTATGATTGTGTTTTTTAGGACCATTTATTTTCATTTTAATATTTTCTATTTTCAACATTGTAATGTAGTTGCCTTTCCAGGAATGTTGCAATGCTTTTTTCGGTCTAGTATTAACTATATTAGAAAACAAAAACAAAGCATGCCATCTTGATGTGACCTCCTGCTACTAGACCATTGACTTCATTAATGCTTTTCTAGTTCACTTTTACAGAACACATACTGTAAGCACTCAAAGAGCACAGACAACCGCTAAGAGATTCCATAAGATTCCAGATATTACATCAAAAATCCGGGATCCAGACGGTTAGCTGGATCACTTAAAAAATGAAATTGGTTTTGTATGCTATTTCTGAGAAAACCTGTCCATAATCTTTTTACTTATCTTGCAAACTAACAAATAGACAGACAGAAACACCCTGGTGATTGCATTACCTCTTGGCTGAGGTTATTACGTGGAATATTCCAGGCAAGGCCACCTCAGTAGAGGAAGCATGAAGAGCTTGTGTGTCGAAGATG